GGGGAGATGGCACCCCCTGCTGCAGCCTGACTCAAGATCCCCATCCTTCCTCAACCAGGCCCCCACCACAAAGGGGTCTGCAAAAGAAAGGGTCTCATTGGAGAACATTCTTGAATATTCTGCCTTAAAAGCCCACTCATTCTCTTACTTTTTTTTTGTCTTTTCCTCGTTAGGCCATGATTTCTGGAGAGCTTGACATTCTCAAAGACTGGTGCTATGAAGCTGTGAGTACTTTATTTTTTTTTCTATTTAGGCCTAAACAGAACTCACAGTTTGGAGGACATCTGCTAAGCAGCTGGTCTGGAAAAGACATGACAGGGCCTGGTGTCCTGGTGAAAGGGAGGTTCTTATGTTTCACATGCTCAGAGACACAGATCCTTCTGTGCCTTATGCACATCACACCACACAACCTGCAAGACTCACCAAGGGCCTAGTGGGAGGTCCTTCTAGGCTAAACTAGTCAGGGATGGTCCTTCCAGCTTGCTCTTTCTTCCCTTACTTAGCCTAATGGCCTGGGACGAGAGCAGTCCTCCTGCCTTGTCATCCAGAACCCTTCCTCCATCCTAACTCTGGTTTTAGAAGGCTCATAGGAGAGAAAGGTGATGATAAGAGAAGCATCTGAGTAAGGTGAGTTTTCAGTGTAGCCTATCTGTGCTGTTTCAGGTGGCCCTGAGTGACATAAAGCAAGGTCTCATGGCCAAGATGGCCTGGGGTATAGGCTGGGGGCTAGGCCAGGTGGAAATGGACAATGAGTAACTCTGGGTTGCATTAGATGTTCCCCTGGAGCCCATGGGTGCTGGAGAAAGAGCAGTTGGAGGCCTCAATGGCCTCCATCATCTTCCTTTCCTGAACCAGAGTCACACCGTTGTCCCTGTTCCGCGGGGTACAGCTTGAGCACAGAAGCAGTGTTCCAGGGTACACAAAGCACCAGATGAGTTCATCAGCTATTCTTGCTTCAAGATCCCAGAACTCAGATCAAAATAGACATTGATAAATTTCCTGCCTGGGCAGGAGCCATGGGTCCTGACGAGGCCCCACTGCCCCCCAGGGTCAGGGCTGGGGGTCCTAGGGCCACAGGCGGTGCTAGGCTATGAGGAGGCGGGTCGGGTGTTACCAGGAGCACACTGTCTGCCCTGCTCCTGGCAACCTCCTCATCTCCTCACGGTTTCCATCTTCCTCGCCACCTCGCCTTTCCCTGCTCACCTCCTGATCTGTGTCTTCATGGGATGTTTGCTTCCATTTTCTTTGTGTTGAACAATCCAAAGGCTTTTTTGGTCGATTCTGTTCTGTGCCGGCTCAAAAACAACTTGGAAAAAGCAGAGAAATTATTATATTTTCTTTTTAAACACACCCCTGCATGATGATTAATCCAGCAGTCAGTTAAAAGGTGTTTTGTTTGTTTGTTTATTTGTGTTTTGTTTTTGCTTTGGAACCATTATGACATGGCAGACTCTCTTTGCCAGAGAGCCGCTGGTGCCCCTGAAAACACAGCTGAGATTATAGCTGCTCACAGAGGTGTTTTTTCAATGTCATCTTTAAGAAACCTCACAAGAAGTGGGGTGGGCACCATACTTTTCTCTCTATTGGAATGTCTTCGGTTGTAGTTGCCTGATGTCATATGAGGCTGCGCATGTCCCGGAGGCTGTTTTGGGTGTGGGATAGGCACTTAGTGTCACTGTCCCCGCAGGGAGAACAGGCTGCCGGCAGTGCTCAGCTACCTAAAAGGGCTGGTCAGTGAGAACAAGGCAGTTCGTTTCAAAGCCACCCATGGGTTAGGGCAAATCCTAGAAGCGTTTGGTTCCAGGCCAAGACTTGGAGTGAGATAAATGCGGGAGCATTTAAGATCAGCCAAGCATGCCTCTACTTAACCCTGGAGTGCCTTTCAGGTGTCTTTCCGGAGGCGTTACCTACTGTGCTGATTAATACCACCCTCGTTTGGTAGCCCTGACAGCTCTGTCTTTATAATAAGAAGGAACTGTGTGACTTGGGCCAGCAAATGGGTGGCACCGGTCTCTGTACTTAGACCCATGCTCCTGGCCTCTGCTGCTCCTGGCGTAGCACACCCAGGCACTGTGGCCATTTCTGAAAGGTGCAAGAACTGAAATCTGGAAACTGTGAGCTGCCTGCAGGAAGCATGTTCTAGGACGCTGGCACCTGCCCAGAGTGGGCAGGCATTAGCGGTGCACCAGCCCTCTTGTGGCGTGGCGCCTTGGTGTGGCTTGGTCTTGGGTGGTCCCCAGATGGACACATTGGCCTCTTGTTGCAGACCTACAGCCAGCTGGCCCACCCGATCCAACAGGCTAAGGCGCTGGGCCTCCAGTTCCACTCCCGTATCTTGGACATTGACAATGTTGATGTAAGTGACTTTCTGGGTGGGCTGGGTGGACCCTGGGGTTGGGATGGTGTACCAGTCAGCATGAGGAGTGAGCTCCCCATCCCTGGAGGAGTTCCATCACAAGTGGGCACTTTGATTAAATGACCTCAAGGGTTCCTCTCAGTGAAAGTTTCCCATGGTCCTGAGATTGGAATATTCGTAGGAAAGTGGTAGGTATAAGAGCTGCTGCTGTCCAGATATCGGGGTCTTAGGGCTCCCCAAGGTGATGGTATGCCTGCACCTTCACTAGGAAGGGTGTGGGCTTTGTCAGGACTTCTTAGGCTGCCACTATCACCCCTATTTCCTTCTTGTTCTGGGCTGAAAGCGTGCCAGCGCCAGCTTCCCTGCCCCCACCTGTGCACCAGGTACCCAACTCTGAGGTCTTTTTGCGTACGCTAACCCCCCACCCTGCACAGCCCCAGTCTGGGGACTGAGAGGCTGCCAGGGGGTTGGGAGCCCTCATGGGTTCTCAGAAGTTCAGACGCAGTCTCAGTGGAGGGTTTGGATTTGTCCCTGGGAAGGGTTTCCTGGGAAATGCCTACACAGAACAGGCCAGCAGGAGGTGACAGGCTGGAGTACTGATTGGGGTGGCTCCTCAGGGGGCCTCCTCCTGGCAGCACCCAAGACACAGGGGTCTCCATATCAAGGGGAGCAATAGGGAATTGATGGGGACTGTTCAGTGATACCCACCCACCCCATTGGTTCCCCCCACAGCTGGCCATGGGCAAGATGATGGAGCAGGGCCCCGTGCTGATCGTCACCTTCCATGCCCAGCTGGTGATGGTGATCAAGAACGCCAAAGGCGAGGTGGTCGAGGGCAACCCGGTGAGTGAGGGAGGGGGCTAGACAGGGCAGGCTGCCAGCCCAGGACCAATTGGATGGCAGTGGCCAGCCACCTGCACTGGTGGCAGGTCTGTGACTGGGAGGAGACAGCAGGATGGCACCTTGAGAAGTCCCAGGGCCTGTTTTGGGTCTGGTGGAGGTCATAAGGCGACTGACTTGTCCAGTTTTACCCAGTACTGGGTTTTAGGCTGTCCCAGCCTCTGTTCTGGACCCCACACCCACACTCCAACACCCTTCCCTGGTCCCCCAGGGTCCCAATGTCCCGACCTGGCAGCTTCATTCTGCCGTGCTGCTCTCTGCCTCCAGGCCCATACCCATTCCCACTCCTGCAGGACAAGGTGTTACGCATGCTGTACGTGTGGGCACTGTGCCGGGACCAGGATGAGCTCAACCCTTACGCGGCCTGGCGGCTCCTGGACATCTCCGCTTCCAGCACAGAGCAGGTCCTCTGAGCCCGGCAGCCACCGCCGGGGGTTCCAGTCTGCATCGCAGGGCAGCCGCATGGGGTGGGAGTGTCCACCTGTGGCAATAGACCTCTGGGGACAAGACTGTCAGCTCCGACCTCTCTCTGCTAGGGTGGATGTAGGGCCAGCTGGACGGGGAATGGCCAGGAACTGTGGGGGGCTGCTCCCCACAGTGCCAGCCCCTGAACCCCCTCTGCTGCTCAGGAGTTGCTGGCAGAGAAAGTCAACAAGGCGCACTGGCCAGACAATGCCAAGAGGAAGAGGCTCTGGCCCAGGGACTCCTCTGGGGACAGGTGGTGGGTCCCACTGGCCATTTCCAGGCTGTTCTAGCTTCATAACAGTGCCCTTATTAACCTGTATGACTGAGATTTGGAAGTGATAATAAAACACCAAAGTGCAGGAGAGCAACTTGGGTGGTCTGAGTTGTCTGTCACTGGTGTGGCTGAGGGGCAGGATGGTCACGGGAAGCAGTCAAGGTCACTGAAGAAACTGTGGACCCAGAAGAATGCCTTGTCTGGTTAGGACCCTGCACTCCTGGGAGGGGAGGAGGGGGAGGGGGGAGGGGATGAGTGAGAAGAAAAGCGAGGGACGTTTTCCATGAACTGGCTGGTGTCTGGGGGTTGGGATCCTTAGGGCTGGGGAGAGCAGGGTCTAAGATCTGGGGGGAGCATCCGGGGTGCTGTAGGGGTGGGGATCCTGGATGCCTGCAGCTGAGCTGGGCGTGAGAAGGGATCCTGAGGCGGGGCGGGGTCGCCGCCGTGCGCCGCTCCCTGCGCAGCCTCCGCCCCCGTCGCTATGGAAACAGCAGCGGCGGCGCCAGGCTCACTCGCGCCTCGCCCGCCTCGGTCTCTGCTGCTTCGGGAGCGGGTGGGGTGGGCTGAGTCCCACCGCCACTGCCATCACCACCGCCTGGGAGAAGCCGAGAGCGGAGTCGGCGCGGGTCCCGGAGAGCACGGCTGCCAGGGTGAGGGGAAAGGCAGGGCGGTGGGTGGGCGAAGGAGCCCGGGGACGCCGAGAACAAAGACCGCGAGCGGGCGCGGGGAAGGATCCCTGCCGCGCCCCGGGGCTGCGCGGCTGCACCTGTTGTGCTGCTGGTCAGCTCGGGGCTCTGGCTCCGCTCAGCTCCCCCACCTGTGTGAGCTGGGTCCCCGCGTGGGATGTCTGCTGGCGGGCGTGGGCGTTGCCTGGAGACCGGAGAGGGGGGACGGGCAAGGTGGGTGGAGGGGTGATGTGGGTGGAGGGGTGATGTGGGAAGGCACAGCCTCATTCCCGCGCGCAGGGCCGACTACTTGTCCGCAGGACTTGCGGGAATGTGAGCCATGAGCACGACCTGGACGCTGTCCCCGGAGCCGCTGCCGCCGTCGACGGGGCCGCCGGCGGGCGTGGGCCTGGATGCTGAGCAGCGCACCGTGTTCGCCTTCGTGCTCTGCCTGCTCGTGGTGCTGGTGCTGCTGATGGTGCGCTGCGTGCGCATCCTGCTCGACCCCTACAGCCGCATGCCCGCTTCGTCCTGGACCGACCACAAGGAGGCGCTCGAGCGTGGCCAATTCGACTACGCGCTGGTCTGAGCCAGGCACCCTCGGGTGGCCCTCTGTCGGGTCACTGTTCCGGGCCCACCCGGCCTGGCCGCGCTCGGGATTCCACCCCAGAGCCCATCCAAAAAAGGAGTGCATGAGAAGTCCAGCCCCTCCCTGCCCAGACACCTTCCATACTCTTAGGCCTCTCCCACCATCCCTCCTGGGCAAGCCCGCGCCCCACTTGGTGCCTTTATCCCTCCCTGTCCTCGCCCCAAAACTCACTGACCGCCCAACGTGTAGATGGCTCTGCTGTTGTCCAGCCTCCAGCATAAATGGTATGTGCGTTCCTGGATGCAGGGACTCCTCTGTATCCCCCCTCCCATGTCTGGCCATCCCACCACTCCATCACCATCACCCCCTTCCCCCGTGTTGAACCCCTCCTTGGGCTCCTGGACCGACAGAGTAGAATATGCCCAGTGCAGCCTGCCCTGAGACCGAGCCCGAAGAGCAACAATGGCTGTCTGGCAGGATGTTTGGCACCTTCCGTGGGGGCAAAGGCCCCCAGACTCACCCCTACCCCCACCCAGGCCTGTTAGTAATCGGCACACCCCTCCCAGTCACCATCTCCTTATGCCAGTCACTGGCAATATTGACACCTACTCGATCCCTCCTGCCAGGCCCCGCACCATCTCCCTTGCCCCCATGCCCTCCTCATGCCTTCTTACTCTTCATGTCTCTGAGAAAATGTAATAATAAAAGCTATTATTGAGCGCTTACGTGAGCCAAGCAGGAAGTCGAGTTAGCATTCCTGCCCAGTGCTGCAGACACTCAGACCCACACTTGAGGGACTGGTGTGTTACCACCTCAATACCCCTGGCTCTAGGCACAGCCAAGATACCCTCCTCTTTCCCTTGACTTAGGAGACTCTAGGGAATGGACTTAGTTGAGTGGGCTGTGAGGATGGGGTGCCCTCAACCAGCCCTACAAGACCTGGCATGGCCTCCTGCTGCGATGACTACATCTTCAGCTCCAGATCCCTCTGACGTTGGTCTCTCCTTCCCGACATCATCACGTGCCGTTGGGAACCCATGGTTCTGGTGTGTGTGTGTGTGTTTGTGTGTGTGTGTTTGTGTGTGGTGGAATCCTGATCATGGAGTGGGCAGCTCCACAACCCACCTGGGAAGTGTGCTGTGTGTTCCGGGAGAGCGTGTGCACTGTGTGTGGGGAGAAGTGAGGGTTTCTATAAAAGGCAGGCTGAGTGAATGCAGACTCTGGGAAAATTTGGGGCTCTCAGTGGACTAGTTAGGCTTGGGGGATGCCACTCCATGGAAGGACGCTGGTTCCTGTTTGCCCTCCCCTGAGCCCACACCCTTGGAGGCTGTGGGGGAAACCCAAAAGCACCTCCAGGAATTTGGGGCCTTTGTCAACAGGTGGGACTCCAACTCCTACTCTACCCAGCTCTGCTCCTCTTCCCCTTGCTTCCCCAAAGCTACCTCAGAGGACCCTCTAACATGCAACATGGGACAGCCTACCCCTAACCCTCAGGCCCCTCAGCCTTGGGCAACATCAAGAGTTTAGTAAGGCCCTGACCAGTTTGGCTCAGTGGATAGAGCATCAGCCTGCAGACTCAAGGGTCCCAGGTTAGATTCTGGTCAATGGCATGTACCTTGGTTGCGGGCACCTTTCATTGATGTTTCTAACTATTCCTCTCTGTAGAAAATGAATAATATAAGTGTATATATATATATATATATATATATATATATATATATATAATTTTTTTTTTTTTTTTTTTTTAAGTTTAGTAAGGGCCCTACCTGGTTTGGTTCAGTGGACAGAGCATTGGCGTGTGGACTAAAGGATCCTGGGTTCCATTCTGGTCAAGGACACATGTCTAGTTGTAGGATTGATCCCCAGTAGTGGGTATGCAGGAGGCAGCCGATCATTCTCTCATATTTTTTTATTATTGACTTAGAGAGGGATAGAAACATCAATGAGAGAAACGTCATCGATCAGCTGCCTCCTGAATACCCCCTACTGGAGATCAAGCCTACAACCCGTGCATGGGCCCTGATGAGGAATTGAACAGGTGATCTCTGGGTTCTTGGGTCAATGCTCAACCACTTAGCCACACCAGCCCTGCTGAGGCCCAGCAATTTATTTTATTGATTAAAGTATTACATATGTGTCCTTATCCCCCTATCGGCCCCCACCTCACTCCCGTTCATGCCCTCATCCCCCTGGTGTCTATGTCCATTGGTTATGCTTATGTTTTTATCTTTCTTCCCTCTCTGAAATCAATAAAAATGTATATATATAAAGTTTATAAGGGAACTTATGGACAGAAGTGGCTCACACCAGCAGCGGGGGGAGGTGTGATATAGATAGCCAAGTGGCAACAGACCCACTTGTGTGTGCGTGAGCATTCCTTTCAGGTGATACGGGCCCACCCCTTCTGGGGTGAACTGGTGGTCCTAGTGACTGTCCGGTTAAGTACAAAGATTCACTTTGCCTAACACACTCTCACTCTGCTGGTGCTGCTCCCCTTTCCCCCCCCCCGCCACTTCCATCTGTATGATATAAGGTCACCCTGCTCAGAAAACCTCCCGACACCTTTCAAGCTAAAGCTTACCTTGACCTCTACATAATCACCAAGGGTCCCCTCATAGCCAAACAGGTCACTCCTGGCAGTGGTAGCATTTGGTGATTGCACCCTCCTCCTTGGCATGCCCCTCAGTCCCCTGGACCCTAAGCTCTCTCCTACTTCCAACATCTCCCTCTGTACTCTGAGCCACAATGTCCACTTTTTTTGTTGTTGTTAATTCTCACCTGAGGACATTTTATCCATTGACTTTTAGAGAGAGTGGAAGGGAGAAAGGGAGAAAGACATTAATTGGTTGTCTCCTGCATGCGCTCCAACCAGGGCCTGGGATCGAACCTGCAACCCAGGTATGTACTCTTGACCAGAAATCAAACCCGTGACTCTTCGATGCATGGGTCAACTCTATAAACACTGAGAACACAAGCCAGGGCACTGTCACCTTTAAGTCACAGAAAAAAGAGTGAGACAATTTTGCTTGATAGCTCAGTTGGTTAGAGTGTCATTCCAATATGCCGAGATTTCGGGTTCAATCTCCAGTCAGGGCACATACAAGAATCAACTAATGAATGCATAAATAAGTGGAACAACAAATTGATGTTTCTCTCCCTGTCTAAAATCAACTTTAAAAAAAGAGACAGATTAACAACTTTATTCAGTTATAGGGCAAAAGCAACAGAATGCAGGAAAGGAGGGAGCGGTATTTGATGATGGTTTTATCCCAGCCACCTGGCTGCCCCCACTTAAGATCTGTAGCTTAACTCCTACACGAACTGGACTTGCGTTTCTGAGGCCCCTGTGTATGCAACGTCCTGCAGGCCACTTGGCACTGCACACCGAGGGAGGGACTTTCACCGGACCAGGTCCTCGTGAAGACGCAGTGCCAGCCCAAGCAGTGCTGAAGGCCAGGAGTCACAGATGTCTGGTGTGTGCTCGGTCTGCTGGGACCCTCACTTTGCAGGGGTAGCTACCTGGCCCAGAAGCTCCAGAGGCATCAGAAATGGGTTCAGGGGGCAAACCCCAACTGCTTGCCAGGCAGATCTCGGTTTGCTGGGCTTGGCATTCTCAGGGGCCTGGGGGTTGGCCTGACTGGACTCCTCTTGCCCCCTAGAGCCAGTCCCACAAACCTCAGCTTCTGGTCCCAGGTTCCCACTGCCGGGGTCAGACTGGGGGGCCATCAGGTGTAGGTACGTATCCATCATATGCTCAACCAGGGCTGCACAGGGCAGGTGAGACAGCTCCTCAGGAAGTGACATGAGCAGGTCAAGGACCACGGCTGACTCTGGTGGTGGATGGCGAGGAGAAGGGTAAGAGGAGGTCAGGACTTGTTGCCTGAACCCCACCACGGAGCCCCCTCCCCCGTTCTCACCGGCTGGGGAAAGCTCAGGGTCTTGGTAGCTGTGGGAGACTGATGACAGGTACTTGTAGATCTTTTCAAAGTCCACTTCGAGGTCTCCCTCAGCAGAGGGGCCAGCAGGTGCTTCAGGGATGGGGCCACCAGCCTCAGGGCTCGGGTTCTCTTGTCTGCTGGGGGTGTTAAGGGGCAGCAGTTTTGCACGCGCCTGCGTGGGCTTGGACGGCTTGGAGTACAGGAGGCTGATGGGCTCCACAGCCATGATGGTGAGCGCCTGGCAGGCAGACAGATCAGGAAGGGAAAAGCAGAAGTCCAGTCAGCTCCTGCCCTGCTAACTGCTGAGCCCTCCACCTCCACCTGCTCACAGAAGATGACCTCAGAGGAGGGGTACTGAGGCTCAAGGTGTAAGGGTCCAGGACACAGACCCATACCTTCCTTAGGCTCTTGTGTATGACCCTGACCCTAGAGACACCCTCGCCTCCCTGGGGGACGGTTGTACCTGTGAGAAAGCCACGGTCAGAGCTTCCTCCAGTGGGCCTGTTATCTTCTTAGCCAGGTCCATCCACACCTGGGTTGGGCAACCAGAAAATACATGGTCAGCCTAGGGATCAACTCTCAGGATTCCCTGAGCAAGTTATCCTCCCAACTCCCACCCATCTTCCAGAAAGCCTTGCCCGGCCTCACCTCGATGGGAGCTGGGGGCTGATGCCTTTGACCCTTTAGGCCACCTGGATGCACCTTCTGAATGGCTTCCCGGGCCACACGGTTCTTGAGCTGCTGGAGGAAATCCCGAATCTGGGAAGAGAAAGGAGACCAAATGGGCTTTCTACAAAACCAGGGCTCGAGGTAAGGGCCAAAGCCCAACGTTAAGGGTCACAGAGACTCTGAAAATGTAAGGTCCAGGCCTATCCGGCACCTCCCTGCAGCACTATCCTATTCACCTCCTTCACCTCCCTTTCGTCCACTGCACCCCATTCCTGATTCTCATTTCAACCGCATTCCCGCCTCGCGCCGCTGCACCGTCCGCCACGTCCACCCAGTCTGGGTCTCCATTCAGTCTTCCTCGCAGTGCGCCCCGCCCCGCCCCCAGCCTCGCGCATGCCCCGCCCGCGCCCCGCCCCAGCCTTACGCATGCCACGCCCCACCCAGCCTCGTGCATGCCCCGCCCCCAGCCTGGCACATGCCCCGCCCACGCCCGGCCGCCCGCCAACCTCGCCCCGCCCCCAGCCTCGCGTCGTCCCGCCCAGGCCGCGCCCCGCCTCTCGTCCTGCTCCCGGTGTCCCCCCACCCCCCTCCCGGCACACATCTCAGGTCCGCGTCCAGCCTCGCTCCCTCCGGGACCCCGTCACCTCGGCCTCGCTCCGGCCCGGCAGCTCCCCGGCCAGCTCGGCGGCGTCCGGCTCCGGCTGGCCCCGCCGCGTCTGCAGTAGCCGGAGCAGCTGCCGCTTCTCGAGGGCGCTCCAGCCGGCGGCGCCGGCCACCTCGCCCCGATAGCGCGCCGGGGCCGCTCGGCGCCGCGGGGGAGGCTTCATGCCGGCGACGGCGGAGTTGGCGGGCCGGGCCGCGTCTCTGGGGGCGGAGCTACGGAGGCCGCCGGGGCCCAAAGCGCCGCGGAAGCGGACGCCGGCGGGGGCGTGGCTCTGCGTTGCCGGGTGGAGGGAGCGGCGTGGCCGGGAAACGAGCGAGGCTGGCAGGCTAGCA